CACAAGAAGAGAAAGGAAGAGAGAGTGCCTGCTAGGTTTAGGAAGCACAGGATGAAAAGAAGGCTGAGGATCACTCACTGTGTAGAAACCAGAGAATGACTCCAAGATGGCACTGGCCATGAGGATGAGGGAGTAGTGCCACTAGGTGTCTGTGTCGGGGGAGAGGCGACCAGAATCAAAGCTACCTTGTTTTCTGAAGTCCAGAGCTGTTAGGAGAACTGTCTAATTTTCCATTCCCAGCAAGGATGTGGAAATTTAGCCAGGAGTGAGAGGGGGAAAGGGAGATTCAAGAACCTTGGATCTAGGGAATTAAGAAAAAAGGAAGCTGTCCCAGAAAGCAATTTGAAATTGACCTGGGCCACATAGGATCTCAGACACAGCTTCAGAGCAAAGATGGCCACTTTTGAGAAAGAGATCTGATTCTTCATTTCAGTTGATGCCAAATTTACCCAAATAGAGATGATATCTTCCACCCCCACCACTCCCAACCATAGACAGGGATTCATCCCAGAACCACTGCCCTTGGTGTTAGATATCTTCAGTAAGCCAGAGAATGTGAAAACTTTTGTAGGCTGGAAAATGATTGTGTTTACTCTGAATTAACTAAGATTTGTGTTTCTTGCCATCTGTCCTGTACATTAATAATACAGAGAAAAACTCAGTCAAAGAAGCTTCCCTTTCTCATACACCAATATAAATAGTTTTGGGAAACTGCATGCCATCCTTGTCCAGCCCATCAATAACATCTGCACATTTCTGTCATGGAGTGAAGGTGGACACACTGCATGGTAGCGCTCACTCAGGGTGGACGATTGGAGAGTGAAGTGCTAGTTCTGCGTAGCTGAAATAAGCAGGAAAGAATCAGACTTTTAACAAAAGTGATTTTAATAAAAATCACTTGACTGAGCAAAACTCGTAGGAATTCCTTTAGGAACAGCATGGTACTCAACTGTAAAAATTCAAGCAAACATAATGAGTAAAACCAGGTGGAAAAAAATAAAAAATGCATGACATAAATGCAAATTGTGGGAACTACATTAGAAGTTCAGGAAGTTAAGTCTCCTGGATTCCAGGAAAGACATCATGGACTCTCCCGGGTTCCATGGCAGGAGGGGAGACCAGAAAGCCTTAGAGAGGTATGATGGGTGAAGAGGGGGGGTTTAGGGAAGCAGGCAGAAGGGCAAAGAGGGGACAAAATGACAGTCACAGATGAAAATTCTGGTACACAGTGGGTAGAACAAGGTCTTAGAAATGCATTGTCAACCTCAATGTAATGGAAACAAGTATTCTATACTTAAGCTTCTTAAATTGAGCTTTTTCTAAAGCATAGTGTGAGATAATTGGGATATAGTTGAGCTAAAATTTTCTTTTATTATATTAATGGAGGAAGGGTATGTTGCAAAAATTAACAGTAAGACAGCACAGCAGGGAGGGTGTACAAGCATGGGAACACACTGTGTCCAATCACCCCCAAGCATTTAGAAGCAACAATTTACATACAAACAATAGTTAGACTAATTGCATATCCTTTGTAACTATCCATTAAAGGAAGTTCAATGAAAGATCATCATTAGGTAGTATTTAGCAGTCTTGGTTCATGTTTTTCTTCTCACCTAGAAGTAATAAGACTGAGTTTCATTTGCATTTTGCTACAATTTAGGTAATTTACAAATTTAGATAGGTCTCCCACCCAGTTAATTTTAATTGAGTTTCTCATCACCATGAATCAGAGATTCAGAAAATATTGCTAGCAAATTCACTAGCAAAATTAAAGATTTTTTGTGTGAAGAAGTTCATCTTGTCTTCAATTTGGACAGCCTCGTGTACTTTTAGATGAGCTGGGTTCCATCCTCCTTGAAAACTTCTAGTAGTTTCTCAAAGCCCTTGTAATTCCTTAATGCTGGTGGCTGGGAAATGAGGAGGTAAATTGGATAGGACTTGAAGGTAGAAGAGGTCAGCAGCTGTGAAGGAGACAATGACTCAGTTAAGAGCCCTGTCACTGTGAACCCATAGTCACAAGGGGTGAATCGTACAGTGCCATTGTAGAGAACATGGCGGTGAACTCACCCCAACCTCCTGTCTGATCTCCTAGAAACTTGAATTTGGGATGGAGATGGGAGGAAGAAGGCTCTAGCTTATGAAGCATGATCCAGAGACATATAGACAGGGATGTCTTAGCTCCTATCAAGAGAATTTTAGGGTGAGAAAGGAGGAACTAGGGTGCTAGGTAGAATCTATGATAGCAGCCTTACTAGCCACATACCTGGGTTCTGAGACTAGATAAGGATGTGTTGTGGTAGGAAGCGACTTCTGAGGGCTGTACTCGGTTCTGGGGCCAGCCTGCCCTGCCACAGTAAATTTAGTAGTCCACTGGGATCTATAACTTACTGGTCCTATTGACTTTGAAGTGGGAACAGGGATGAGTTGAATGTGGTTGAAGAGAGAGGGAGAGAGTCCTTGGTGAGTACAGCAGTTAGACACCATGCAGGACTATATGTTTCCCCTGATTTTTATCATAGAGAAAGCAAGCTTTCTGTTGCCCATACTGGCAAAATGTTGGCAGTGGACAGAAAAAGAACACCACACTTTGCTTACGCAGTAAATGTTTTCTGAACATGTCTAGCATGGTCCTGGATCCCAGAGAGTATATGAAATCAATGCAAGGTAGTTCTTTCATTCATGATGCTCCGTGACTGTTAACACATCCACTCAGCCGGGATAGAAACATCAGTTTAAGAAAGATTCAGACCATAACCTGCTGGGATGAGTCAAGGAGGGCTTCATGGAGGAAGCAGCCCTCACTGAACCTTAAAGAAGGAGTATAATTAACATAGAATGGAAGGTAGTTTCAATGGAAATTCACAGTGGTTTATGGGAATTACATGAGATCTCCACAGAGGTCAGACAGCAAAATTCTGGGCACCAAGAAAATCCACAGCAAGTGAAACTAATCACTCCTGCTGTAGCTATTATTTCTGCTACTTTCACGGCTATCACCATGTCTATTTTTGGGCTATTTTCACTGATTTTTGTGCAGGTGACAGGAATTAAAGGGACATAGGAACGGGGCACAGTTTTGACATTCTTCTCAAGTCTGTGGGACAAAAGGAATCACAGTAACCAGGAGCAGGCAGCAGAACGATTTCTGTGTCAAGAGTGTATCAAAACTGCTTTTGCTCAGACACACCAAAATATTTAAGCTAGGCTCCCATAGATGCCACCCCTGATTTCTGTGTCCCTAAAGCTCAGTGCTCTAGAGGATGAATACATCTCTCAAAAATGAAGCAGAACAGTCCAAGCTCCCGGCTAGACATAATTCCTCTCTCTGCTTCTTTCTTTAAGTGTTTTGGCCACAGATGTGTTAGCAGGAATGAAATGCAGGAGATGTATTCTCTTTAGTGCCTGCAGATGATGATGCTGGGACCAAGTGGGAACACCAGCAGCAAGTGAGTGGGATTTGTTCTTACATTCAAAACATCTTCTCACATGCTACATTAAAAAATGTTAAATAAGATTTGCGCTGAGAGTGATTGTTGCCCAAGTTTCAGAACAACTCCCTTATTGCTGATTATTATCCTTTTCACAAAGGCCAGCCTCTTCATTCTGTTTGTTGTCATGTTCTATAAATATCAAAGACTTCAGAGACGGTGTCACTAGTGGAGTCGGGAGCTTCCTGGGTGTACCACGCCTGCCAAGATAGAATATCTGTGTGTGCAGGCTGATTTCGTAAAAGGGATTATTCAGTCAATAGTTAAGTGGTAACAAACTCCAATTTCACTTTCTGTGCTGCGGGAGTTGAGCAGCTGGGCTGTGTATGTGAATGCATTCAGATGTGACTCCATGGGACTGGATCCCCTGCAGCCAGTGTAAGTGATTTGTTCAGGATCTGCACTGCCACAGGGTCTCTTTTCCCATGAATAGGAAGCTGACTCCTTGGACAGTTCCCCACTGAAAGTTTTATTCTGAGTATTCACAAAGAAGTGAAATTCTAGTAGAGAGAAGGTTGTTATAGTAATTCTACCTCTTTTTGTAAAAGTCAGATCATTTCAAGAACACCCAGAGGATTAAAATCAACATTACTGACAACAAAGTAACAATAAGAATTTTCCTTGAGGCATTTTTCTTTCTAGTGTAAAGGACCAGTTTGAGACCTGTGAGTTATTGCAAGGACTAAACATAATGTCAGGCAGGCAGCACGTAAAATAACCCACAAGCCAGCATTCAGACATAAGAGGCAGGAAACTTTTGTTTTCTAGGGACATGATTTCTCTCTGTCCACAAGATTTTTTTTTTCCAAAGGAGAGAACAGTATTATCTTAGTGGTGATCTTTTCCTCAATGTGAGCCTTGGATACTCTGAAGGTGAAAGGCATCAAACTGATTCTTTCATGTGTCTGGGTAGCAACTTGTTGCAAACAGGGACACCACCAACTAGAGTCCAAGAATCTATTTCTCATGCATGTTCAAGGAGAAGGATCAACAAAGGCAGTGTAATCCTCCTATCTCACTAGGCATGATCTTTCTAGTGGCACCCATTTCTGCCCTGGGGAATATGGGCTTTCTGCACCTCTAATGCTCCTAGCAAAAAGACTCATAGCTCTGACAGTGAGCACACATATACTAGAAATGTCTATTTTTGACAATTTCACTATTTCTACTAGAAGCAGACATCTCAAGCACTGCTATAGAATTAGTTAAAAGTGCTTTCACCTAATGAAAACAGGAAAGTAAAAAAAATCTTCCACTTACAAACGTTACTTACGATTCACAAGTTTTCATCAGCAGAAGAAAATGCACCAGTATACATTAAAAACAATCAATAATTCAGATCTTGGAACACTATGAAAATCATTGTTTAAAACTATCATTTCTTTTACTCCTTTTAGAAAAGAAATAAACAATGGCCATTCACAGTACTGGCTAATACTTTCATTGCCCTCCTAAGTTCCACCTGTCCCATAATTTAAAGTCAACATTCAGCATGGAATCTGGAACACTTACCTTAAAGGAGGAGTAGACAGAGCCCCACTCCTCTCCCTCGGCCACTTCAGTGAAAGTCACCGTTTCAGTGCAAGCCACTCGGGATGAATCCAGTGTTGTTGGCACGGTCTGGGTGGAATTGGAACTGCCCTCTGTGAGGTTGGCTGGCATGGCTCAGGAGGGGTTGAGGCTTGCTGTCCCTGTCCCTGCAGCCAGGCAAGAGGGTCTAGCTTGCCCCCTGAGAACTGGGCAGCAGCTGCAGCCTGGCACTTCCTCTGATTTCCAAGGCTTTTGGCTGGAGCTCGGCTGAGCAGAGGCACAGAGCCCTCCCTGAGCCCACCTCACTGAAGAGCTCTGCCTGACGACAGGGAGGATCCACGTGCTGCTCTCTCCTCAGCAGCTACAATCCAGGAGCCAGCACAGCCCTTGTCACCCCACAGTCCCACACAGGGCCAGGGCTTCGCCCTGAGGGAAGGGGCGAGCCTCCCACAGCCATGGACATGGTACCTGGATGGGCCTCCTGCTCTGCTGTGCTTTTCCTAACTTACACAATGGGCTCCCATTCTGTTCCAGCTTCAGTAATTCAGGAATCTGGACTCATCATCAGGTCAATTAATTCAGGTCATGTTTGCACTTCTGAAATCAATCATAATTATACATTTGTTTCTGTTAAGGTTGCTTTCTGACTTACAGTCCTCACCTAGCCATTTACTCAGTAGCCTGCACATTGTTTCAATAGATGGAGGCAAACAGCATATTTGTGTTTCACACCCATGGTTCTGCTTAGGTTTTCAAAGGGTAGTTCTCAAAAAAATGATGTATGTGTATGTGTGTGTGTATATGTGTGTGTGTGTGTGTGTTTGTGTGTGTGTAATCCATGATCCCTCATTGATGTGACCAGGAGGGGCCTGGTGAAATCTTCTCACCTGCTGTGGGCTCACCTTAACTCCTGCCTGGAACAGTACTCAGGGTAAGGGTGGAAAGAAGGTCACTGTAGTATCCTAGACACTATGAAGAGGAGATAGAATAATAGATGTTCCTGCTTCACAAGCAAACTCATAAAGCATGTTGACCTGTGCCTTGATTTTTCCATTGGATTTCCACAACTCTGGGATGTAGGGAAAGAAGGTGACTTTATGTTTTCCTTTTACACTAGGAGAGGCTGGCTGGGAAGTGACTTGCCCAACATCCCACAACCAGAGATGGAAATGAGCTGCTAACCTTTCTCTTCTGAAATTCCTAGACAGTGGTGATTTACTGAAACATAGATGAGTTTACATCAAATCCCAAATGCTTACCAGGACGAGAGGTTAATATGAATATGGTAGCAAGCCAGGTATAAATCATCAGGAACTAAGCTTCTTGTATGACAACCAAGCATAACATTGGAGCACGGACTGTGAAAACACTCTGAGCCAAATAGGCCAGCAGTGGTTTATGGCACATGGTATAGGAGGTAGCAGGTTTAGTGACTATTAAAAAAAAGACAATGACCCCATGAAATCTCCTAAGCAAACCTTTGCATAATCCATCCCCCTTCTCCCAACAAGAAGAGAACAGTGTGCTACAGAAGGGAAGATACTACATGTGGAATAAAGGAGCAACCATTAGAAGGGGGCTTTCCAGAAAACTGGAGATGTTATCAGTTCTTAGAAAAGGGTCAAAACAAAATAATAAAATAATAACCCAACAGCAAAAGATTCCAACTGGCAAATATTCCAGCCAACAAATGAACATGGAAAAAAATGCTTAAACCTATTAACAGGGAAAAGCAACTTAATAAGAATTTTTACCAATTAGCATAATGACAATTATGTACAACTACCTGTCCCCCCCCAAAGTGTTGAAAGGATTGAGAAAAAAGGGGTGTACATTTTTATTTCTGAAGTGAGTTAGGTGACAGGGTGACTTTGAAGAGCAATTTGACAGTGTCTAGCAGAGTTGCAATTACAGACCCTCTGATGCATTATTCCATTTCTAGAGGCTGGTAATTTTCCATTTCTATCTGGGTTACTTACATGTGTTTGATTTGGGAAAATTTGCTGGATTACACCATTAAAATGTGTGCACTTTTCTGTTTGTGTGTTTTATTTAAAAAATATAAATTTTTTGTGGGAAACCTTTGAGAAAGAGCAGAAGCTAGTTTGGTGTGGATGGGTGGAAAGAGAGAAAATGGCAGTTGTCATAGACAACAGATAAGTGGAGAAAGACCTTTCAGGTTGTATCATTTTCTCTCCACTCATGGTCCAGATCATAAGGTTTCTCAATGAAAACATTCATAGATAAGTACAAGGAGACATGCAAAAGATGCTTTTGCAACATTGTGTAGAAACAGAAGCAATCTAAATATTCAAGTTGACAAAATCAATGAGACATCCTAAAGAGGAAACTGCCCACATGCTTCTTAACTGGGTGAATAATTACCATGGAATGCTATACAGTGATGAGAATGAAAGGTGTAGAGCCAAAAATATCATTAGAGATGAAACTCACTTTGCTTAATATTAAGCAAAGTAATAAGCATATTTGTTATCATTTATATAAAGCATAACTGTGTGCACACACAATGGAATATATTCAACAGTTTGAAGGAATTTTTGTAGACCAGGTGGCAAATGAACATGGTATTAAGGTTATTTTTATGTGTCAGTTTGACTAGTTCACAGGGCACACAAATAGTTGGTCAAACTTTATTCTGAGTGTGTCTATGAGGGTGTTTTTTGAATGGTTAACATTTACATTAGTAAACAGAGTGAAGCAGCCTCATGTGGATGGCTCTCACCCACCCACTGCCTTGACCTAGGACATTTGTGTTTGTTTTTGCCTTTGAAGTTGAAGTGAAAAATAGCTCTTCTGGGTCTCCAGCCTATTGGTTGTGCTTCTCTAGAGAACCCTGACTGATACACACAGATTTTAGCCCCTCCCCTGAACTGCTCCCTAGAGATTGTTCACAGTGAGTGGAACATTGATGAAATACAGAACTTAAGCCATTCAAGCAGCTCCTGGTTTAACCTAAGTGATAAAGATGGGAAATGCTCTGTATTGGTAAGGATGTGGAGGAGGAAGAAGAGCTAACATACACTATGGTGGGGAGGTAAACTGATCAAAGCACTTTGGAAAACTGCTTGGAAATATTATTAAAAGCTGAACACATGCACCCTCTATGACCTAGAAGTTTCACTTCTAGGAAAATACCTATCACAAATGAATGCATATGTTAACCAAAAAAATATAATGGTGATTATAGTGACTCTGTTCGTATTTGCCCCTAACTAGAAATTACTTAAATGTCCACCAACATTAAAGTGAAATAATAAACTGTGGCATGTTTTCACAATGGAAAAGATACATTGCTGAGAAGGCTTGATGCTGCGAGGCTGGTAATTCTGTTCTATGACTGGGGTGGTTACTTGAGGGTGCTGCACTTGTGAATATGCCTTGTACTATGTACTCTTACAGTTTTTGCCTTTTTTGTGTAAATGTTTTGCAAGCTGTGGGAAAATCCTGCAGCGGGTAGGGAGGCTGGTTGGGTCATTGTTTGAAAAGGCTTGGAGCAGGAGGTAGAAATGGTGACCTAACATAGACAAAGACTAAGGATCACGAATGGCAGATAAGCTGAGAAAGAACTTTCTAGTTGAGTTGTTTTTTCTTCACATGTTGCCCAGATAGATCCTTGCTTGGCCTGTGGTTATAAAAGAGAAGAAAAATAGTAGCAGCAACTGTGGTGCAAGGCCTTGGGGTGAATGTGGATTGAGTTCACATGCACAGATAGACAGATGGCCTCTGAGTATTTCTTCTTGTCCCATTTGTATCAGGCTGAAATTGGTGCTTGGCCAGGATTGGGGTCTCATCAGAAGCTCAATGGGGGAAGGATCCACTGTTGGGTTTCTTCAAGCTATTGGCATAATTCATTTTCTTGTGGCTCATATCTTTGAAGCCAGCACAAGGGCAGGATACTGTAGCAAGATAAGTGCACTACTCTTATGCAATCTCATACATTTAATTGCATATGTTCTTTTCCTTATTCTCCAAAATAAAGTCACAGATGCATCGTGCTGCCATCCAAAACACCTCTGACTGCTTACTCCACTTCCAACACACCTCCCACGGAATGAGTTGGGAGGAGTTTGCCAAGGGTGGGGCTGAGAACAGGGAGTTTGCTGGGTTGCTGGGTTTGACTGCAGCCAGGGGCACTGAGTACTACTCACTTTTGCCCCAAATCTGGGTGGGTTTGGCATGATTTCCTCCTCACCACTGCCTCCCTTCTCTGATGGGTTCCTTCTCCTATATGCATGCCTGTGGATGTTTCCAGAGCATTGTTCCTAGTCCAAATCCAGGGAACTCTTTGCTTTTCTAAACTGTTTGTGGGGATTAATTTGATATCCAAGGAACTCTCCATTTATCCTGCTGCCCTCTGCTTTTTCCAGCTAAAATGAGATAGTTTGGCCACTTTGAGGAGAAATTGGGCATCAAAGCCTGCCTGTGGCACAAGTTCAGTTTTACAGCATAGTGATATTGACTATTGCTGCCTGAAATCACTGGTAATCTTTTTCACAGATAAGGAAGATGCTGCAACAAGGAGGTTAATTATAGGTTTACTTAGGATTGGCTAGAACAGAGGAGAACAATCCCAATTCCCAGATGAGGAAAATGAGGCTCAGAAAGTTTTAGAACCTTTTTTAACTTTGTACACGTCCCAGCACATTTCATCCTTAAACTCAAACTCTGCCTCCAAGATCTGCGCTATTCTCTAACATATAATAAAAATATCACTGGAAACAATCCTGTTGCCCTGCTGCTACCAAAAAAAAAAAATTATTACTGACTAAAGACACTCTTGAGGAAACCGGGTTTCCAAGTCATCCATCACAGTATTCTGGCAGAAAAATCATAAAATTTATTGTTTTCATTGATTTGATGCTTAATCCCTTAATCCAGATCTAAGAAGTATGAAAGAACATCTTGTTCCTTCAAATAAAATAAACCATTGAAATAGGTTTTTTTTTTCCCTTGACAACATACATATTTCTTATGGTGAAAGTGTTATGTGTCCACTCAGCCTTGTATGACAGCAACACTTCCCAAATAAGCATCTGCTAGCATTCTGCTCTGGATTTGGGTCCCATCTGTGATGGCACCAAGGCCTGTCATTCAGTGAGAAATTTATAATT